GTGTGTGTGTCATAATGTTATGGCTTTGCCGTAAAAACTGAACGCGCGAGTGAAAATTAAATTTTCACCTCAACAAGAAGGGTGCAAAATATGAAATTACATATAATGAAAAACACAGTTTTATTTACGACTATATTTGGTCAATATAAGAACCAAGTTTGAAATTATTTTCATGTCACACACAATCGAAGAAAAAGTGGAGGAATTGTCGCGTTTTTTTTCTTACCTTCTGCCTCAACTTCTTTTACAACTGGTCTAGAAATAAGTGTATGAATATCGCGGCCGAAGTGGGTTAATCAGTCACGTAAAAATCCAATTTCTTGCCACGCAGTTCAGAGCAATGCCGAATTGCTTGGCTCGCTCTTCACGGGGGTGGTTTTGGAAATTTGTCACCTATGGCGCGAAGGGCTTTTCTCCAATGTGTAAATTTTCAATTAATATTTATGCTCTGGGTTTGCGTAGATTTTGACATTATTAAGCATACTTTGGATTATTAATCAATGTTGGATGTGCGGCACAATCTCAAGGGAATTTCCTCGAGACTTTATTTGGCTCGTAAATTGATGTTTGCAGGTGATGGAAAGCTCTCAGTGCATTATGACTCAGTCCCAGAAGCTCTTGCTCTTTCTCTGTCCTCGGCAGATGTTTAGAGAGAGATTTGGTGTCTTTTTTGCCTTCATCATGTCACTGTGACGAGGCAGAGAAGTTTCAAAACTAAATCTCTGGATATATGAAATGTATGGCAAATGAACGTTGTCCAGATGAGCTGAAAAGGCGGATTTAAAATGACTCTCAAGCGTTGCATTTCGGCCAGAAGAAGCTACTTTCAATTGAGCAGAAAATACACTGTCAATTTGTCAGCTGTTGTGTTGTGTTGTGGTGTAGAAAAGGAGTTGGATGACCGCACAGGATATGCTTTCTGCTATGCTGTGAGCGGTGAATTCCAAGGTGAACTGCTCGTGGTTGAAAATCTCACGCGAATTCCATGGCAAAACAATTACCGTCAAGTAGTAATAATACGAATTTACATGGGTTCTAGCCTCTTATTTTTAATGCACTAAAATTGAATAATTACACAGTGCACAGACTTGTAATGTATATTTAGATGTTCAATTAATTTCACCAAGAAGTCCGATTGTAGGGCTTCGCCGGTGTCCACAGCGGCGGTACTCGTTCAAATGTGACGGTCATGAAGGGAAAAAGAGAGACGATGGCTGTAAAAGGGACAAATTAGGGCTTTCGTGCGTTGTGGCTAAGAAAACACGGTCTTTTTTGTCTTGTTTCTATTATTATATTTCACGATGATTGCTATAATAGAGGCACAGTGAGTGAAAGAGAAGGTATGGATAATGAGTTTTCTTCATTCTGTGTGCATTTGATGGTTCCTCATGCGATTGTCCATCAGCCTCGGCTTCAATGTGTGTTGAATTCAGAGAGAGAGAGGAAAGAGTTTTCTGTCATTTTCCCTCACGCAAATGTTAAATGATCCAAAATTTGGGGAAGGGGAGAAGAGATTTTCAACGATAATCTTGAGGAAAATATCTCAGAGAGACACGTTGAATTACCATTTTCCTGTTTTTATCAAGTTGTGCGTTGTGACGCGAAATCTCTTAACCTTTGATGGTGGGATAATTTAGGTGAGAATTTTCTCCCCTTCTTCGCGAGACTCCTCTCTGAATTTCCCCAGTGGGAATTGTTTGTAAAATGTTGATGTGATATGTTTACAGCAGATGGAAAATTGTGCGTGTTGAAGGCGCGCGAGGGCCGCGAGAAGAAGGAAAGTTATGGTGTGTACATGAAACATTTACTTTGGATCAAATTTTCAACTCCCCAAAACGCCCAATTCTCTAAACAGAGAGAAAGAGAGAAGAAAGGTTTCTTTTTCTTCTATAAATATCGAGTGTGTGAGGAAGAAGAATGACTTCCAGACTTGTCTATTTTGGCATTTTATACAATAATATTCAATCCTGCATTTCACTCACGCAGTTCATAAAAAAAAAAAATCTTTGATGATGGGAGAACAAATTGTGGGATTGGCAGAGTAATTTGTCTGTGGGAAATTCTCCGTGGAAATGAGTGTGTTTTTTCGGGTAAGGAAAAAGGTCGATGTTGGCCTGTCGCGTGAAATGGTAGACGGACAGCTGTGTGAGTTGATGATGGAAAGTCTTGTGAACCACATCCGTCTGGTGTCGAGTGCGCCCTTTGGGTGCCTTCTGAGGCGCTGCATCCCAACCAGTTTGGGATAAAAAATAACACACAGTAAGCAGAAAATGCAGAGACACACATGGCTTTTTTCGGGCCTCTTCTGCCTCCACAACAGCCAACAGGCTTCCCTTCCACATGCGGTACAGTTTCGTGCTGGAAATAACACTGCAAACCATTTGTAAAGATGTCTCAGTTTGTCCTGCAACGCAATTTACAGCCCAAAACTGTCGATATAGAAGGACATGATGCACACTTTTATGCGGTTTTTACTCAGGCATTTTATGGCTGATTCGCTCAAATATCATCTGCATAGGGTTGTTATATGTTCTCTTCCATCCACCACCAAGTCATATAAGCGATGCGAAATCTGATGTGCATAAGAATTGATTTGAAATTTGATACACCAAATCCGTGCACGTGAGACGTCTTCTCATCTTTCCATCTGTGCCTTTCCCTTCTCAGACTGTGCGCTGTGCGATGATCCAGATTGGCTGGATGCTGGGGCCAGACTGGTGATGTTAAAATTACAATGCAATTAACATAATGTATTGCGATAACGCCAGCCTCTGTTTTTTTCCTCCTTTCTTCGGTGTCGCAACTCTCTTGCATATGCACAGAAAGCCTAAAAATCTGGCGGACGCGTGTGTTGCACACAGTTCGGAAGGCAAATGAGAGGAAAATTGTTGAGATAAAAATACTGAAAGCGGGCTTTTGACAAGAAAAAGAGTCTGACTTGGTGATAATGCAGAATGAGCTTCGATGCACATTGATTAGAGCCCATTTCCGTGATATGATTTATTTTTCTGGAGTCTCTTTATTGAGTTTTGACTAGCGAGAGAGAGAGAGAAATTGGGCCTTGTTTATTTTCACAATATTTTTTTCCTGTAATGAATTTTTCTGAATTATGAGCATATGGAAGGTTTTTTTGGAGTTGAAATTGGATTTGAGGCGGCAAATGTTTAGTGTTTAAGACAATCTTATGAGGTTCACTCTCTTTCTCTGTCTCAAGTGGAAGTAGCAAATGAAGACTCGCGAGAGACGCGCACACAGAAAAAGAGTAAAAGCAAACATCTTGTCGCCTTCAAATGTATATTTATACGTCGCAGTTTTTATTTTCTAAACAAAGTTTATTATGATCTCAACTGAGGAAGAGGACAGAATTCACTGGAAAAATCACCTTGACGCTTTTTGAGAGACTCACTAACTGACTAATGTGTGGAAATTGAAGTCACAAAGCCGGGCTTTCGGTCCGGGAAGTGTTGAGTTGAATTGCACATATTCGACGGGTGAAGAGAAAACTGTGAAAATTCGATTTATCATAGTTTTCGTCTTATGAATTTTTGAAAAGCTTTTTATTTGTTCTTCATGTACAAAAATTTTAAAATTTGTATCTTATTTATCTGAAAAGCATAAATGAAAAAATTGTCATGTTTTGTGAATAAAAAAATCAAATATTCATTATTTACGCTGTAGAATTTTTCCAAGAAAAATGTCTCAAAAATTGCAGTCAAACGCATAAAATGCCTTTTCAGAAACTAATTTTAGATTTTCAAAATTATCATAAAATGTTTTTTAAACTTTGAATGAATATTTCTTATATCTTTTCAATTTTTTCACTTGAAAACATTAAAGAAAAGTTTAAATACAGTATGAAAAGTTGATTTTTAGAACTTTTTTCGATAAAATCAACTTTGGAAAGTAATATTTTTAGATTTTCCAATTATTTTGCCATATTTTAGTCAAAGATTCCAATAAATACCGATAAAATCAACTAAAATATTTACAAAATAATTAATACAGAGAAATATTTGCACTTTAACGGACGATTTGAAGGCGTTTTGAGGGTTTTGAGGCAAATTTGTCAAATTTCACAGCTTTTTTAATGCAAAATTATGAATTCGCTCTGCTCAAAAATGGCTGTTTTGACTTTTGATAGTTTTCGGGGCACCCGTCGATATGTGGAAAAGAAGTAAAGCCGGAAAGCCGATAAAGTCACCCTTGATTTTGGGGTGAAGATTGGCCGGCGAGGGAAGCCCCTGAAATCTCACGTGTGGCAGATGGTTTGAGGATGGGCAAAATGAATGCGGAAACCTCTTCACAACCGCACAGTTGAAGTGAGAGAGAGCAAAAGCATATCATATTTTCAATTCAATTTAAATCAAATTGAGCGAGGAGATTCAACCGGCAATCCTCATCACATAAATTTAACATTATTTGCAGCACGCCTCAACAATAACACGCTGAATTGTTATTAATTTCATACATTCGCCTCCCATGCGTGCGCGCGAGGATATGTATATAAAAGTATAAAGTTTTAAAATCTTATTCAAATGGTTTTACTGCTGTGGGAGAGGGAAGCACATGCAAATAACGTACTTTGTACTTTACGCATTAAAATTATCCCAAGTTTTGCTGGTAGAATAAATCCAGAGCGCGGCGGAAGATGTGAGATTATGAGAGATTTTCCTCAACACAAACTCTGCATAACACAATATACAGTATACTAGGGCTCAAGTGAATAAGCGTCATTGAGTTCAATTTTGTAATTAAGTAATACTTATAACTGAGAGTGTGAGAAGAGAAAGAGAAAGAGAGAGAGAGAGAGAGAAATGGTGATTGCAAGAGGAAAAGCCACTGAGAAACTGTGAATGTGAATTTAATTTATTAATTTGCCACAGACTTTAGAATCACAGCGCGAGATTCTTGCCCAGAGTTCAATTGGCATTGATTTAATTCTTAATTGACAGTTGCTAAAGATTTACACTCTCACTAACTGTTTGACTTTTCTTCTGCAGAAAATCCACATCAGCTTCAAGCGCCGAGATTCACAACACAACCATCTTCATTCGCATCAATTGTCAGTGAGGGAAGAACGAAGATTCTCCAGTGTTATGCCACAGGTGAGTTGGAATTCAGTTTATCATTGATTTCTTCGTACTGAAGAATTTCTTAAATGATAATTTATTCAGGAAATTGAAGTGATTCAAACTAAAACTCATGAATGTTAAACATCGAACATGTAAAAGTTTAATATTCCAAATGAATAAGGAAAAACGCGCTTTTGTATTCTCGCTAAAATAGCGAATTAGTGAAATTTAGAGCAACAATTGCAGACTTTCGATCTATCACGCAAATTTTTACACATTTCTACAAACAATCTTTGCAATGAAATCACACTAAAATTGTCCTTTTTTTCTGAAAAATGCAGAATCGCTGAGTAACTCGTAAAATTTGTCATGAATTCTGGCACAAAATTGAACTGATTAGCTTAAAAATTGGTAGATAAACGCATTAATTTTAATGGGAATTGATCCAAATATCACTATAATATTAATTTGATCAGTAAATTGATCTAATCCACTCAAAATCATTCATGTTGATTGACTTGTTGTGGGGTTGTTATTAAATATTCACTGATTGTTGGGTTTCATTCTTTGAGCCTTGGAAGTGTCCCGGCGCAATTAGCCGGATCTGCAGCCTTTCCCGAAGGCTAAATCCAATTGAAAACCATCATCTGGCAGTGGAACAAGTCAGTCGATTGTTGAAGGGAGGGATCGTGCAATGCAGTGAGACAACAAACAGCAGTCTTTTGCCGTTGCAAGTTCATTGAACACAGTGATTATTGCCTATGACGAAGATGAGTTGATACTCAAGAGAAGTGCGCGTCTCATGATTATTTTATAAATTCACCATTTAGAGTGATTGCGAGGCGCGCGCAGTGACTCTGTCATTATGTGAGGCAATTCAATGGAGTCCTGATAAAAGATCTATCCCTCTTTTTGCCTCCATTTATATACATAATTCCGGCTAAGTGCAATGGAGCGGGAAGTTGGCTGTCTGTGTTTTGGGGAGAGAGGGAAAGTCAATAAATCCATTGTGTGATTGAAGGAGTGTGTTGGGGATTCTTTGACTTCTTGAGCTCTTCTCTCTTGCTTGTGCATAAGTTATTTATCACGGACAATATCCAGAGGAGTTTTAGGACTCACGGGAGAAGAGAGTGAATAATGCAGGAGGATTATTATGACATGAGATTCCTCAGCTTAGTAGGGGTGTTTATTTAAAGTTGTTTTGGATTAATCTTTTACACAATGATTGGGTCAAGATGTCTTTGATTTATTTCACTGATGATTGGAGTTATAATTAGAGTAACTATAAATGTTCTTCAATGGTTTTCCTTAATGATCTGTTTCCATGAGTCTTTTGTGTTGCGGTGGAATGGTTTTGTGGGTGATAAATGGTTTTGATGTTAAGTCTCAAATTCAGACATTAAATTATAGAGCGCACTTTTATTGCTTGATCTTGAACTGTTGTTTGGCTTGTCTGTCTCTCGCGCCCGTATATCTAATGGCTGAAGACGATGAAGAAGAAGAGGTCTTTCAATTTGTCATCATCTCAATTTCCTTGCGTATTAATCCAATATAACAAGGGCAGTGTTGTGTGTGTGTGCAGTCTTGAGAGAAAAAGAAGGGCTTTTTTCCAGCGGGGGTGACAAAGTATCGGCTTTCCGGTTGCGTTCAAAGTCATTTTTCACGGATGGTTTCTGATTGCACGGCCGTCGATATAATCTGCGCGAGGGTGGAAGAAAAAAAAATCCAGGGGCTCGCCAATGCACAGGGGAGGGTGTAAATTCATCATTATCCAAGGCAAAGGGATCATCCGGCTGTTATTAGAGTAAATTGGTTTGTTTTACTGGCCTCGCTTTCCTGTCTCTCTGTTTTTTACGCCCTGCTTTTGGGGTGTGTGTGTTGTGCTCTTGATGCCATTAATAATGGGGTGGAGAGGTGGTGAATGGTAACAGAGTGACTTTTTCCCTCCTTCAACGGGATATCCCTGCACTTATTCTTTGGTCATGTGACCACCTTCGTCCCAGTTTGTCCCAATATTATGTTACCTTCTTTCGCACTCTCGCTCTTTCCCTGTCGTGGGTGGAAAAGGAAAACTTTTCCTGCTCCGTGAGGTGGAAAAAAGAAGTGCCTTTAATAACGGGGGTGTTGAGAGGCAATAGAAATTTCTATTTTACAGCCATGCAAGGAATTTTGTAGTCATCCAACCTCTGTCAACATAAACACTTTACTGAAGGTGTTTTCCATGAGATTCATTTTTTATGCATTTCTTCATTAGTGCGGCCTGTCTTCTCCACCCACAGTGTGGCGGAAAAGAGCCGTGCATGCGGTGTAGTTTGGCGAACATGAGCCCAAGAGTGTCTCGGATTCTACAGTCGCTGTTTCTGGTGTGCTGAAGTGGAGGAAGCTGATGAAGTGGGGAAAATTTATTATTCGCTGCAATAAAAGTTGCTTTGGATGCAAATTGAAAATGAGTGGCGAAAGAGAAGACGGACGATGAGTGAAAATGGAGAAGGAAAGAGGAGAATGGATACTTTTTTGGGGTGGGAAAAGGAAGTTGTCAGTCACTTTGAGGAGGGAAAACACACACTCAATCCACTCGAATGCAAGAAGTGCAGGTGTTGCTGTTCAATTCACCAACTCAAGAGGGAGAGAGAGATCGCTTAAGACATCTCGACGCAGTCACGGTGTTTTCCTGAGGAAAATCTATAACAATCTTCTTTGCAATAACTGGGCGTGTTGCGAATTCAATGAAACCACAATCTTTCGCCGTCTCTCATGGTTGTTTTTTTTATTGCAACAAAGCAGCGCTCAGAATGCGAAATTGTCGACAAACTGACTAAAGAGCGCTTCCACGCGGCAAAGAGATGAATGGTTTTTGCAAAATATTAAGAGCTGTTCGGAAAATACACACTCGCTTGTGTGCAATGAAAAATTTAAGGTGGTATTTTTGCTTCACAATTAACATATGTGGTGGTTTTATGTGGAAATTAGATTATATTGAGGGAAATTTTATTAGTTGTGTGCCGTTTAAGTATTTCGAGGGAAGTTGCGCGCAATTCGACGGGTGAAGAGAAAACTATGAAAAGTCGATTTATCATAGTTTTCGTCTTATGAATTTTTGAAAAGATTTTTATTTGTTCTTCATGTAAAAAAATTGTCATATTTTGCCAATAAAAAATCAAATATTCATTATTAACGCTGTACGATTTTTCGAAGAAAAATGTCTCAAAAATTGCAGTCAAACGCATAAAACGCCTTTTCAGAAACTAATTTTAGATTTTCAAAATTATTCTTAAATGCTTTTTAGACTTTGAATGAATATTTCTCATATCGATTAAATTTTTTCACTTGAAAACATTAAAGAAAAGTTCAAATAAAACATGAAAAGTTGATTTTTCAGAACTTTTTTCGATAAAATCGACTTTGGAAAGTAATATTTTCAGATTTTACATAAATTTTGCCATATTTTAGTCAAAAATTCTAATAATCATCATTAAAATGAACTAAAATATTTACAAAATAATAAATACAGAGCAATATTTGCACTTTACCGGACGATTTGAAGGCGTTTTGAGGGTTTTGAAGCAAATTTGGCAAATTTCACATCTTTATTAACGCTAAATTTTGAACTCGCTCTGCTGAAAAATGGCAATTTTGACTTTTGATAGTTTTCGAGGCACCCGTCGCAATTGCGAATGTGTTGCAAAGCGAGCACAGCAACACAAATATGTATGATTGGAGGCGAGCGCAGAGTTTCATTTTCGGTTGAGAAAATCTAGACAAATCCACAGTGGAAAACAATGTGATTTTATGATCGGTAGTGGAGTGTGTAAAATTTTTAACCGCTCGCACACAATGTGTTTTATGGTTAGTTGTTGATCTAAATCGAATGATGAGTTGCGCGTTTCCATACTGCATATAAAACCCATTGAACTCGCGACTGATGATTGCTGATGCGTGTCTCAAATGGTGAAGAAGAGAGTGTCACTTTCACTTGATAGACTTCTTATCTCGCTGCTTCTCACGGTCTTCTAGGCACCCCAACGCCAACGTATCGCTGGCTTAAGGATGGAGTTCCAGTGGGAGACTTCACAACTAGTCAATACTACAAGATGCACACGACGCGTCGCGAGGACGCTGGATCGTATCAGTGTCTGGCGAAGAATGACGCTGGCACGATTTTCAGCGAGAAGATCGGCGTGACAGTTGCATGTGAGTTGATCACACTTGAATCTAGCTTAAATTCAATGGAACTAATGAGTGATTTTCACTGCAGACATGGGCATTTTCGAGGACTCCAGCGAGAGGCGAGTCTCCGTGCAGTCCGGCAATGCCATTCTGCTGAATATGCCACCAATTGAGTCCGTGCCGCAGCCCTCGGTGACGTGGCAGACGGAAGAGGGACCCTTGAATTATGACATAAAGTATGCCGAAACGACACAGAATCAGTTAATAATTCTCAGTGCCGAGGCGGAGGATCAGCGGGCTTACAGGGCGCGCGCCATTAACACGCAACTCGGCAAGGAGGAGAACAGCGCATTCATTCACGTTAATGTCACGGGGGATCCGTACGCTGAGGTGCCGCCTGAGATTATCGTGCATCCGGAGAGTGTGAAGGTTGTGCGTGGACAGCAGCTGATAAAGCTGCAGTGTATCGCCAATGCGCGGCCGCTGTATCAGCTGGAGACGCTGTGGCTGAAGGATGGTCTGCCACTAGAGGCGGCTGGAGTTACGTACAACCTGGACGATCCGTGGAACAGGACTTTGGCCCTGCTGAACGCCAATCTCACGTACACTGGGCAGTACAGCTGCCAAGTGCGCCTGAAGAGCGGTGAATTCCCCACCATTGTGTCCACGGCGAATATTGTGGTGCAGGAGCCGCCGTCCTTCGCCTCGCCGTTCAGGAGTGAAACCGTGGGAGATTATGGCGTGCGAATGGAGCTGCCATGCGACGTGATTGGCGTCCCAGCGCCCTATGTCACGTGGTTCCGCAATGCCGAGGCGCTGGACATGTCCACAGATCGCTATAGCGTGCGTGAAGACAACTCACTGGTGATCAAGAAGCTGACAATGGACGATTCGGCGATGTTTCAGTGTCTGGCGAGCAATGAAGCCGGCGAGAAGTCGGCCTACACGTGGCTGAAAGTCAAGAGTAAGTTTACGGAAATGTGCTAAGTGACTTCTTGTGTAAATTATACCTTTAATCATCTCTTTCCCTTGTGGTGTATAATCTTAACTCTTTCTCCATTGTATTTGTCTAATCCAAACCTGTCTAAAAACCGTTCTGTCTGGGGGACAAAAAAAAAACTTGCTGATTCGTAGAGACTAACAACAGTGGATTGATGCGAGATAAGCGTTTAGCGCAGCCTAGGATAATCCGAATGAGATCTTCATCAACACTGACTAGCAAAGAGAGGGAATTTCTCTATGATAAACGCCGTAAGAATTTATTCCCCTGTAAAATGAGAGATTGTAAATTCACTGGCAATTTTGCAGCTTGAGTTTTTTTTTTGATTTTATTTATTTTCCTCTTCAAACACAAGAGAGCACTTGATTATGGCTTTAACGTCATAGATTTTATTTATACACACCAAAAAGTATGATTTCTGTAATCTTGAGAGTCGCACAGAGAGAGAAAAATGGTTAAATTGATTTTGGATGAAAAGTCCAAGAAGTGAAGAAGAAAGTGAAATGAGAGACTCGTATTTTCTAACCACATGTTTGCATGTTCGCACTCATTTGATGGCTAACGTGAATGCTAATATTTTAACATGGATTTAAGGGTATTTCATGTGAATAAAGCACAAGCAGAGTGAGAGAATGACGAGGGGGTGAAATGTAACTAATAATTTTGAGATTTGTAACTAACCAAGAGAGCAAATGTGGTGAAAAATGTATTCACAATCGGAATTATAATGCGTGATTTTCCCATTTGCACAGCATCGACACCAATTCTTGAGCAAGCGCCGGAAAATGTCACGGTTCTGGATGGCAAAGATGCGACAATTCAGTGTCGTGCCGTTGGCGCACCGACACCAAACATCACATGGGTGTACAATGGTGAGTAAATGCTTCTTCCTATCACATGTTTAAGTGCTCCCAAACTAACGGTGTTTGGCTGTGTGTCTTGGCCATTAACAAATGAGACAATTTTCTTTCTCTCCTTGCGCTTTGATGTGGTTGATTTTTGGCAGAATCGCTGCCAATTGAGGTGTCTGGACGCGTTCAAGTGCTCGATTCCGGCGATTTGCTCATATCGAACGTGAGGGAATCCGATGCTGGACTCTATACGTGCTCCAGATCCAACGAGGCGGGAACTGTTGGTGGTGAAGCGTATCTTTCTGTGATGGGTAAGTTTATCTTCTTTACATTTGCCGTGGCACTGGAAAATGGCTTGATTTTCTGCACAATTGCACTGATTTGTGGGCGGGGCAAGCGAGTGGGCGTGGCCTAATCAAATTCACGGTGATTTCCAGTGAGAACCCAGATCATTCAGCCGCCAGTGGACACAGTTGTCCTCCTGGGACACACGGCTGCGCTGCAGTGCAAAGTGTCTTCAGATCCTTCTGTGCCGTTCAACATTGACTGGTACAGGGACATCCAGGTGGCTCCGATTGGCAACAGTCAGCGAATTGGCGTGCAGGCTGACGGCAGTCTGGAGATCCAGGCTGTGCGGGCGTCAGATGTGGGCGTGTATTCGTGCATGGTGACATCGCCTGGTGGGAATGAGACACGATCAGCTCGTCTCAGTGTCATTGAGTTGCCCTTCGCGCCGACAAACATCAAAGCTGAGCGCCTGGACACATTCACGCAGAGGGCAGTGAATGTCTCCTGGACGCCAGGCTTCGATGGCAACAGTCCGGTGCTGAAGTTCATTGTGCAGAAGCGAGAAGTGTCGGAATTAGGTGAGGATGAGTTGTGTTTTTATGTGTTGATGCAGAAGTTACTGGAGTGGTTTATTAATCAGCAGCTATTCCAGGACCCATTCCAGATCCTCTGCTCAATTGGGTGACAGAGTTGAGCAATGTTTCGGCTGCTCAGCGATGGATTTTACTGACAAATCTCAAAGCTGCCACGGCTTATCAGTTCCGCGTGAGTGCCGTGAATAGCGTTGGAGAGGGATCACCGTCAGAGTCCAGCAATGTGATCAACTTGCCGCAGGAATCGCCGTCAGGACCGCCAGTGGGATTCGTGGGATCGGCCAGATCCTCAGCGGAGATCATCACGCAGTGGCAACCACCGCTGGAGGAGCATCGCAATGGTCAGATCTTGGGCTACATCATCAGATATCGCTTGTATGGGTACAACGACAGTCCCTGGACGTATCAGAATATCACAAATGAGGCGCAGCGGAACTACTTGATTCAGGAATTGATCACCTGGAAGGATTATGTGATCCAGATCGCGGCGTACAACAACATGGGCGTGGGAGTTTACACGGATGGAGCGAAGATTAAGACGAAGGAAGGCGTTCCGGAAGCGCCACCGACAAATGTGAAGGCTTTCGCGGTGAATTCGACCAGTGTTCGCGTGCGGTGGAAGCCTCCGAATCCCCAGCAGATCAATGGAATTAACCAGGGATACAAATTGCAGGCGTGGCGGTATGAAATCTACGATGGGGAGGAGCACGAAACGGAGGCGAAGATGATAACTGTGCCGCCGAGCTTGCTGGATCCTCTGGCAGAACAGGAGGCCATCATGATGGGTCTGGACAAGTTCACGGAGTACAATATGACAGTGCTGTGCTTCACAGATCCCGGGGATGGTGTGAGGAGTGAATTTGTGTATGTGAAGACGAGTGAAGATGTGCCGGATGAAGTGGCTTCGCTGCAATTCGATGATGTCTCAGATAGGGCAGTGAAAGTGACCTGGACGCCGCCGAAGAGCATCAATGGCAACTTGTTGGGCTATCAAGTGAGATATCAAATCAAGGATCGCCCAGACACACTCAAGGTGTCCAATTTGACGTCTGAAGAGACGAGTTTGCGTGTGATGGATCTGCAAGCGACCACGCATTACTGGTTCGAAGTGACTGCCTGGACTGCGGTGGGAGCTGGAGTGCCACGGACGGCTACAATGCAATCTGGAGTGGAGCCAGTGCTGCCTCATCCGCCCTTTCAGCTGGCTCTGTCCAACATTGAAGCCTTCTCGGTGGTGCTCCAGTTCACACCGGGCTTCGATGGGAACTCCTCGATCACCAAGTGGACTGTTGAGGCGCAGACAGCCAGGAATATGACGTGGTTCACGGTGTACGAAGTGTCTGATCCCGAAGCGTCCACACTCACGGTGACCAATCTGGTGCCCTTCACGCCGTATCGACTGAGATTAGTGGCCACGAATGTTGTGGGCGCTTCTGAGCCTTCGGAGCCCACGAAAGACTTCCAAACCATCCAGGCCAGACCAATGCATCCGCCGTTCAATGTCACCGTGAGAGCCATGAGTGCCACGGAGCTGCGAGTGAGGTGGATTCCGCTGCAGCAAACAGAGTGGTTTGGCAATCCCAGAGGCTACAACATCACGTACAAGAGTGTGGAAGGCAAGACTCCAGCTCTCAGTGCTCTGATAGAAGATCACACGGCCAACAGTCACGTGCTGGACAATCTCGAGGAGTGGACAGTTTATGAGGTGACCATGAATGCCTGCAACGATGTGGGATCGTCGAGAGACAGTCCGAAGGCTGTTGAGAGGACTAGAGAGGCTGTTCCTTCCATGGGACCGCTGGAAGTTGAAGCCAACGCCACGTCGTCAACGACAATCGTCGTGCGGTGGTCAGAAGTGCCGAAGGAACACCAGAATGGACAAATTGACGGATACAAGGTGTTCTATGGCGCTGCAGGGAGAGGATCTGTCCTGTTCAAGACCATTCCCAGCAATTCCACCTTCACCACGACCTTGACGGAGCTGAAGAAGTACGTGGTTTATCACATTCAAGTGTTGGCGTACACGAGACTGGGCGATGGCGAACTCAGCGTGCCGCCGAACAGAGTGCAGACTTTCGAAGACACTCCTGGAGCGCCGTCGAATGTCTCCTTTCCGGATGTGTCATTCAGCACGGCGAGGATCATCTGGGATGTGCCGGATGAGCCAAATGGAGAGATTCTGGCATATCGAGTGACTTATTCGCTCAATGGATCGGTGAATTTGAACTTTAGCCGGGAATTTCCGCCATCAGATCGGACTTTCAGGTGAGTTTGAGGAATCAGAAGTTTAGAAGATCTCGTTGAATGTGATTGATATTTCTTTTAGGGCCACGCAACTCTTAGCTGAGAGATACTACATCTTCAGCGCCACTGCCCAGACGAGACTCGGCTGGGGCAAGACTGCCGCTGTTCTTGTGTACACGACCAACAACAGGGAGAAACCTCAGCCGCCGTCTGTGCCGCAGATCTCGAGGAGTCAAGTGCAGGCGCATCAGATCACCTTCAGCTGGACACCGGGCAGAGATGGCTTCGCTCCGCTGCGCTACTACACAGTTCAGCTGCGGGAGAATGAGGGTCCGTGGACGTCGCTGCCGGAGAGAGTGGATCCCACTGTCACGTCCTACACTGCCACGAATCTCAAGCCCTACACGACGTATCAGTTCAGGATTCAGGCCACCAACGATCTGGGTCCGTCGCCATTCAGCAAGGAGAGCATTGAGGTGCGAACACTGCCAGCGGCGCCGGCCAAGGGAGTGTCGGGCGTCAGAGTGGTGCCCATCACGATCACCAGCGTGCGTGTGCACTGGAGTCAGCTGCCCAAGTCCCAGTGGAACGGAGACTCCGTGACGGGAGGCTATCGAGTCCTCTTCCAGCCCATCTCGGACTTCCCCACAGCCTTGCAAGCGACGCCCAAGCAGGACATCATGGGCATTGCGTCTGAGAGTGTGATCTTGAGTGATTTGACGCAGGACAGGAACTATGAGATTGTCGTGATGCCATTCAACTCTCAAGGCACTGGACCACCATCGCCGCCAGTGGCTGTCTATGTGGGCGAAGCTGTGCCGACGGGAGAACCACGAGGAGTCGAAGGAGCGCCAGTTTCGTCCACAGAAGTGCGTCTGAGGTGGAAAGCACCGCAGCAGGGCTTGCAGAATGGTGATTTGCTGGGCTACAAGATCTTCTATCTGGTCACGGATTCGCCACAGGAGCTGGAAGAGGGCAGAAAGCACGAGGAGGAGATTGAAGTGGTGCCAGCGTCCACCACGGCGCACAGTCTGGTGTTCCTGGACAAGTACACGGAGTATAGAGTGCAGATTCTGGCCTTCAATCCGGCTGGTGATGGTCCGCGATCCACTCCGATCACTGTGAAGACACTCCAGGGACTTCCGGGGCCGCCGATGAATCTGAAGTTTGCCGACATCACGATGCAGAGCCTGAGAGTGACTTGGGATCCGCCGAAGAAGAGGAATGGCGAGATTCTGGGCTACATTGTGACCTATGAGACGACAGAGGAGAATGACAGTGAGTTGATAGCCTGTGGAATTGGGGGTGTTTTGAGGGTTTTGAGGCTGATTGGCTTTGGGTGTTCTTACAGAATTCAGCAAGCAGGTGAAGCAGAAGGTCACGGGCACGAGTTTGCTGGTGCAGAATCTCGAGGAGGAGGTGACTTACACCTTCGCCGTGCGTGCTCAGACGATTGATTACGGTCCGCCGGCGAGTGGGAATGTGACCACGGGCCCGCAGGAAGGCTCTCCGGCCACACTGAAGGAGTTGGTGCTGTCAAAGACAGTCTCGAGTGTGGATATGCACTGGATCAATGGACCGAGTGGCAAAGGACCAATTCTTGGCTACTACATCGAGAGTAAGAAGCGAGGTGAGTGTTTTTTATTGCCTCAACTCATCCCTCTTGGCGCGGCCAAATGTAATAATAAAAGTGATTCTCTTTTCTCTCTTTCAATGCAATTTCCATGCTCCAATTATTTCTTCCCTCTTGCAAACCACACACAATTATTACCTACCGAATAAAAAAAATATTCTATCCACAAATCACAGACAATGAGAATTCGTACAATTGTGAGTATTGTCGATGTTGTGTGTAATTCTGTGATTGTTTCTCGATGTGTGTTTCTCTGCTTAAAAACACTCTGATGCTGTGCTTGAGCGTGAATTAACGCCGGTGTTCTTCCACTTGACAGATGATCAGCGATGGGAGACTGTCACGAGGACAACGAGTGGCACACTGCAAGAGTTCACTGTGAGCTATCAGAGTCTTCTGCCCTCCACGGCCTACACTTTCCGCGTGATTGCCTACAACAAGTACGGCATCTCCTATCCCGTGTACTCCAAAGAGGCCATCCTCACGCCCTCGAAGCTGTATCTGGAGTACGGTTATCTGCAGCAGAAGCCCTTCTATCGGCAGACGTGGTTCATGGTGGCTCTCGCTGCCACTTCCATCGTCATCATCATCATGGTCATTGCCGTGCTGTGCGTGAAGAGCAAGAGTTACAAGTACAAACGTGAGTTTCTTCACTGTAATTTCTCTGATTTTCCACCCCTTCGCCAAAAGGGTGAGAAGGATTAATTGCAAGCACGGAGTCTTGGGCGGGAACCAATTAATCAGAATTACATGCACTCTCGCTGCTTCTGGACTCTATGAATTTATTATGTGTGCCTGAAAGATGTTGAAAACATTGATTTTATGCATATTTCATGAGGAAGTTGTTATAAATGTATCACAATTAATTCAATTTACCACAAAAGTTTCTTCATTGAGTTTGAAATTCGACGGGTGAGTCGAAAACTATGAAAACTATCTTAATATTGCTTCGAAATTTGTCAAATTTACCTAAGAAAACCCTGAAATTTCTTATAATTGCTCTGAAATAATTGTTTTCTGAATTCTTCAACTGATTTTATTGGTATTTCTTTAAATTTCTGACTCAAATATGGCAAATATTATTTTCCAAAGTCGATTTTAATTAGTTTTTGAGTCGATTTTATCCAAATAAGTTCTAAAAAATCAACTTTATATATATTTGATGAACTTTTTTCATGGTTTTCAAGTAAAGTTTTGCGAATAAATGCAATTTGAGACAATTTAAAGTGATTAATATTCAACTTTTCATAGTTTAAACTATGAAAAGACACATAAAGATTATTTCCAGGCAGTAAAACAGATAAATATATTTTCAAAAATCAACTTATCATAGTTTTCGCTTCACCCGTCGAACAATTTATATGTTTTGGGCATTTTGAATGTATGGGAATTATTTCCTTTTGAAATGTTTGTGTTTAAAACTGTGATTTATTGCTTTTCACTGTGAAAATCAGGTGAAGTGAATCGGCGAGAAAATGCACTCTTAAAGTGTGAACTTTTCTCTCTCTTGCTGAAGTGATAATTAATGACTTTGGAGTTCTTCAGAGTTGATTGAATTAGAGACAAGATTCTTCATTGTGTTCTCTTTGCAGAAGAGGCGCAGAAAACTCTGGAGGAATCCATGGCGATGTCCATTGATGACCGCCAGGAATTGGCTCTGGAGCTCTATCGATCGCGCCACGGCGGCGGCGGCGGGACGATCACGTCGGCCACGGCCACGATGGCGAGTGGCGGAACGCTGGGCAGGAGAACGCTGGGAACGCTTGGCAGGAAGTCTGGCCACTCGTCGGCAGGAGCGGCCGCGCTGGGAAAGTCTCCGCCGCGGCCTTCGCCGGCGTCTGTGGCTTATCACAGCGACGAGGAGAGTCTGAAGTGCTACGATGAGAATCCCGACGACAGCAGTGTCACGGAGAAGCCCTCGGAAGTGAGCTCGAGTGATTCTCAGGTGAGATTTCTGGGCGATTTCAATCGCTGTTTGAAGGGAAATTTCATTGGGGAATTTCTTATCAATGTTGCAGAATTCTGAGAGTGAGAACGAGAGTGTGCGCTCGGATCCGCACTCCTTCGTGAATCACTACGCCAACGTGAACGATTCGCTGCGGCAGAGCTGGAAGAGGCAGAAGCCCGTGCGAAACTACTCCAGCTACACGGACTCCGAGCCCGAGGGCAGCGGCGTGATGAGTCTGAACGGCGGTCAGATTATTGTGAACAACATGGCGAGATCCCGAGCGCCACTGCCGGGATTCTCGTCGTTCGTCTGACCGCCGGCCGAGACTGACTAGCAGTTGAGGAGCTTCTCATGTGATAATCTTCAAAGTGAACTTATGATATGATTTATCTGTAAATATAAGGAGATCGGAGAGGCGAAAACTGCACGCGAGCGCGAGGAGAGGAAAATCAAAAGAAAAATTGCTGCATTATTTACTTAATTAGCGAGTAAAATGATTAAACTAATCAACAACTCTCTCTTAGGCGATAAGTAGAGATAATATAGTATTGTCTTCTTAGGGTTTTTTTTTAGTTGAGAATGATTCGATAAATTGCGACTGAGTATCTGAATAGTAATTTAAAACTTGTTTTATTTTTAGCGTATTTTAGGTAGTATTTAAACCATTGAAAAGGAATCTTTTGTAAATATACAATTTTCAATGCTTAATTTTGTAAAATTGACGATATTCGTGCATTCAAGGCGAAAGTATATTATCTTCTATGAATAGAAGGAACAGAGTTGGAAGAATCAACTGCCAAAATTGTTAAGTAGAAATGTAAGATTTTCACAAATTTGCCGTAGATTTAAAAAGAGTCAAAGTTTCTCTTAAAAATTGCAAAATTGATATTCAGAATCTAAAGAGTTAAACAGTTAACAAAGAAAAGTAAGAATAAAGAGAAAAAAACGTTTAAAGATAATATTGTAAATAAGATGAGAGAAGAGAGAAAAAAATTCTATAAACTCGTGACGATATCAATAACCTTATCACTAATCTAGAGTCTCTCCAGCTCTGTTCAACATGAAGAGATTTAATGGGAGAACCTCAGAGTTTAGCGAAAGTGTTTCTGAGCGTGTGTTGCAAACTGCCATAAATTTTATTAAATACTTCTTATATATATATATACCCTACATTAGAGAGAGATATTGTACGAAAATGAGCGAGAGACAATTTAACAATTCTCCCAGTTAACTTTTATTGTTGCAATAGAGATTACACGATAGCAGAAGATTGTATAGAAGGAGTCGAGGGAGTAAATAAACAGTGAATTATCGCGTAAGTTCAGCAGTTGGCCACTTTGCCGATGATCTTCCGGAAGATCTCGATGCCGCGCAGATAAACGTCCGCGTGCAGAAACTCGTCGTGATCGTGCAGAAGAACTGGCGTGTTGTTCATGGGCGAGAATCCGATCGCTGGAATGCCAATTTCACGCACATAACGACTGTCAGTTCCTCCGGGGAAGATTTGCGTGCGGATGCTGAGCTTCATCTCATCGATGGCACTCTTGAAAGCCACCCAGAAGATGTTGGCATCGTCAAGATCTGTCTTCGGCACCGGCGGTTCCTTCTGCTCGAAAGTTATCTCAATTCCGCCTCCGGCTTCCTCACACCAGTGCTTCAACTGCTCCAGGAAGTCGTCGTGGTTCACATCTGTCGCCAGACGAATGTCAAATCCGATGGTCAGGAGCGGAGGAACAACATTCGATTGAACTCCGCCGGAAATCTTGGTCAAATTCACTGTCGTCACGTCGCCGATCAAGAGCTCAGGATTGTTCTCCATGCGCTTCACTTCGTGCTGACGCAAATCCATGAGTTTATCCACCAGGTAGCGCACTTTCTCTCCAGCTGTGTTCTTGTGCAGCAGCGATCCGTGGCCAGGAGTACCTGAGCACTTGAAGTAAACATGCCAAATGGATCGTTCGCCATAAAACACTGGATAAAGATCAGTTGGACTGGCAATTCCCTCGTCCAGCGAGAATCCCACTTTCAGCGCCCGGAAATCTTCGGTGTGAACGAACTTCGCCATTCCCAGCTTTCCTCCAACTTCCTCGTCTGGCACGAAAGTGGCGTGAATCGTGCGCTTCAGCTTCACGCCGTCCTTCTTGAAGGCGCGCAACGCGGCCAGGAATTGCATTCCGACGCATTTCATGTCTTGCGAGCCGCGCGCGAAGATCTTCCCGTCGGCGGCGAGATGCGCCGAGAAGGGCGGATGCGACCACTTCTCCGGGAACACCGGAACCACGTCCATGTGGCTGTTCAGCATCACGGCCGGCAGCGACGGATCGCTGCCCTTCAGCGTCAGCACAACGACGGGATTCTTGTCGTTCACTGGATGGAAAACGCTGAAATCCATGCCGAGATCCGTCGCCTGGCGGCGCAGGAACTCCACGCAAGGCTCTGGAAAGTTATTAAGGCACTAAAGCTATTATTTTTCCTTTAATTAAAGGCAGTTTAACGTCTCACACAAGAATACAAGAATATTTTCTATGAAAGCTTGAGGCTTTATCCATAAAATAGTTTCGCAATCACTCAGAAGATCCTTTTAAATATTGTTCCTTCTAATCTTTCATCTCTTCAAAGTGTATCTAGAAAGTCTTTCAACTCTAATTAACACTGACCTATTTGACCGCCGCGCTTAAATTTTTTCAGGATCCGCAGTCAACATAACAATGCATAATTTCCAGCTAATTAATTGATTACGACTATCTGTGCAAATGCTTGTAAATCTCCACGAAGAGATCCTCTTATTTATAGACACTCTTCAAATATCCCATATCAGTGTCTCAGTGATAAACACACGGCTTATCACACTGTAAATTCCGCCAATTAGCGCCTCCCCTCGTGAGCAATTGACCGCTTCCTGCGCTCGCGCCCGTGGGAATCAGGACACTCACCGTAGTTGGGATTGGGATGCACGCTGGGGATCCTCAGGTACTCCCGGAAGATCTTGATCTCCTCATTGTTTTCCCACTTTTCCGTCATTTCGCCGACACGTCAGCCAAATTCACACACTTTCACTCGCGAACTTTCCTGTTGCGCTCTCGAGAGTCAACTGGCTTAAAAATAAACCGACAGTGGCAATTTATGGCCGCGACTCCAACGGAGAGACTTTATCGTTGCTCCGCGGCGGAGCGCGATTACAGAAATCAACAACCGCAGACACGAAAAGCCAGTGGTTTTCAAATTGGGTGCATTTAATACAGGGCAGTGGGACTCAGCAGTTGGCCACTTTGCCGATGATCTTCCGGAAGATCTCGATGCCGCGCAGGTAAACGTCTGCGTGCAGAAACTCGTCGTGATCGTGCAGAAGAACTGGCGTGTTGTTCATGGGCGAGAATCCGATCGCTGGAATTCCGATTTCACGCACGTAGCGACTATCCGTGGCTGCCGGGAAGACTTGAGGCCGAATCTTGAGCTTCAGTTCGTCGATGGCTTTCTTGAAAGCCACCCAGAAGATGTTCGTCTCATCCAGACGCGTTGGCGGAACCAGAGGATCCTTAAGCTCGAAGACTAGCTCAATTCCTCCTCCGGCTTCTGCACACCATTTCTCCAGCTGCTTCTGGAACTGCTCATGATCCACTTCCGTGGCCAGACGAATGTCAAATCCGATGGTCAGGAGCGGAGGAACAACATTCGACTGAACGCCACCGGAAATCCTGGTCAAATTCACTGTCGTCACATCGCCAATTAGGAGCTCAGTATTGTTCACCAAGCGACTCTGTTCGGCCTTACGGAAATCCATCATTTTATCCAGGACAAATCTCAGTTTCTCTCCAGCTGTGTCCTTGAGGAGCAACGATCCGTGGCCAGGAGTGCCTGAGCAGTTGAAGTGAACTCTCCATGTCGGTCTCTCGGCATAGAAAACCGGGAAAGTATCCGTGGGACTAGCAATTCCCTCGTCCAGCGAGAATCCCACTTTCAACGCCCGGAAGTCTTCAGTGTGGACGAATTTCGCCATCCCAAGTTGTCCTCCAACTTCCTCGTCTGGCACGAAAGTGGCGTGAATCGTGCGCTTCAGCTTCACGCCGTCCTTCTTGAAGGCTCGCAGCGCTGCCAGGAATTGCATTCCGACGCATTTCATGTCTTGCGAGCCACGCGCGAAGATCTTCCCGTCGGCGGCGAGATGCGCCGAGAAGGGCGGATGCGACCACTTCTCCGGGAACACCGGAACCACGTCCATGTGGCTGTTTAGCATCACGGCCGGCAGCGAAGGATCGCTGCCCTTCAGCGTCAGCACAACGACGGGATTCTTGTCGTTCACCGGACGAAAAACGCTGAAATCCATGCCGAGATCCGTCGCCTGGCGGCGCAGGAACTCCACGCAGGGCTCTGGAGAGATGAATCTTGAGTTTTCCTGCCCTCAATCTTACAGACATATCAATTTACCATAATCGGGATCCGGATGAACGCTGGGAATCTTCAGATACTCTCTGAAGATCTTAATTTCCTCGTTTTTCTCCCACTTTCCGGTCATCTTTCAGCAGAAGATCAACGTCGGGCGTGTCAGTTTTCCAGACTGAAGTTTTTTCTCCCAATTCAACAGTTACAGATCAGATAAACAAGAAACCAGTCTGGTGCTTATGAGACAACTGAACGAGTGAATCCGACCGCAGAAGCTTTTATCTCTCAGGTTCTGAGCTTATCAGTGACCATTTTGGCCACCGAAAGATTAGAATTATTGCCTCCGGTCACGAAGAGCCCAGAGTCTCATTTATGGCTATTTTTCATGCGTGTTTATAGTGTGGAAAATGGGTCTTACAGGAGTAATACGTCGAAATTGGGTCAGTAAAGGTGGTCAAAGTGCTTCAGCATCGCCAATTGGTAGCGGTAGGAATTCGAATTCTCCTTCGCCAGGTTCTTCTTGGGCGGCTTCACGACAGTCTGCATCTGCATGAAGGACTGTTCATAGATCAAAGGGGGAATGGGCTTGAGGTAGTCCTCCAGTTTCGGCACAGGATCTCTCAGAATCTTCACTGAGCGCTTCTTTGGCTGAGGCTTTTCTTCTCTCTCCACAACTAAGTCATTCACATTCACCGGCACCAGATTTCTATAGACTCTCTGATAGCGGCCAAAGTTCAGCTTCTTGGAGATCTAAAAGAGTCGAGAAATGATCAGAAAATGACTGTTTTCCTGGCCAAATCATCAGAAAATATACTTCTTCCTTCGCAGCAGCCAGAACAGTTGGACTCACGGCGACTTTCTCTGGTTTCTGTGCCTCCATCATCTGTCTCATCTTCAGTGTAGTGTGGAGCTCGGGCTTGGCGAATTTATTCACACTCCCGGAGGATTTGGGAGGAGCTTCCGGAAGTCTCTCTGGCAAAATGAAGCGCACTTTCTCTTTCCGCGCATCTTCGAAGCAATTGCTCACTTGATAATTCACAGCTGCCAGTGGCTTCTCTCGGTTCCTAAGCAAGGATTTCCGCACAGGTACACTCTTCCTGGACATTCTCAACGACAAATTTCACGCGGAGGAAAACCACAACAAGAACAGACCGGCGTCGGGAAATGCAAGGTTATGTTGCTGTATTTGACAGTGTCTGTCCGCAGATGGCGCGGCAGTGGTGATATTTTGTAAACATGTGTTTTCGTGTCCTGCGAATCCTGCGAAGAAAATCTCTCGGGAATCAGTGGAAAGTGGGGATAATTCCTAGTGAATGCTAGGAATAAGTAGCGGAGAGAGTGAGTTGTGAAATTCGCGTAAAGTTCGCGCTGAAATCCGCGAGTTAACAGTCAAATTCGTATTTTTTCAGCACCTCCGCGACGCCTGACAGCCCGCAACGCCTCTTTTCCGGACGCCGAAGAGAGATCTTCTATATAAGCTGGCCAGACTATTCATTTCTCAATCAGTGTCGCTTCGAGTACATAAGAGACTCGACAGTGCTTGTCTGAGATCGCGCGCCTGCAGTCGCGAATTCACGCAATTTCACGCAGTCACGAGGCGTCCCGGATCAGCAGTTAATCGGTCAGCAAGGCAATCCATCGTCCACGCATGAGAAACTACAAGAGAATCCTCAACTCCATAAGGCACACCTCGTCTGATCACTTCTCGGAAAGCTCCGCCGCCAGCGTTCACATTTGAGTCAGGAAGCGTTTTTCCTCAGGCTTGTCCAGGAGCATCGAGCAGTGCGCTGGAGAGTGTCAACAGCTAAGATCAGCCTTTCACTGTACACTTTGGACCGTGTGTGTGCCGAGAAGCACTCCCGGAGGTCAGTGAGTTATTTGATTTGCTAAGAAGTACAGTGAAGACAGTGTTTTTAGGTGCAAGACATCATTTATGCTCTCCAGCGTGTGAATGTTGAGCAGAATGAGGGTGAAATTAAAAGGTTTCTGGATAGTGAGTGGGCGGAGCAAAGGAATAGGCGTGGCTTAAGCAATATTTATTGTCAGGATCAAATCTGCAGGGATTCTTGAGAGTTAATCAGTCTTTATAAGTTCTAAATGCAGCATTTTGTGTCTCTTGAATTCTCTTAGAGATTCTCTTAAGCACAATTGAGTATTTTAATTGGTGTTTAGCCGAAAAGACTCCAATTTCCTTATCCCAATGTTCCCAATTATGCGATGATGAATCACAATGACTCATTTTAGCGGCTTTTCCGGCTCATTGGCCCACTTTTCTGTGATCATTTCACACACTGTGCCTATAAAAAGTGTCTTGAGTGTAAGAAAAAAAGTCTGCAGAACAAGACTTTTCCTGGGTGTCTGTTTGCCCTCGCGCTGTCGCGATGGAGCGTGAGGAATTTGTGCGACCGGAGAAGTTTTGTCTTGCATTTGAATTTGATCGTTGTTGCGCGTGGAAAAAGTGTTCTACCGCGTTCTCCTCACTCTTCCACTCCTTGGCACGCGTCCAAGAGATAAATTTAGCCGATTTATAGTGGAGAGAGAGGGAAGAGAGTGTGTGTCTTGTTCAGCGAATTGAAGCACAATGTTTGTTTATATCGCACTAGCGCAGATCCTGCAGAATATAGCTGAGGAGAATTGAGAACCAAACTAAAATAGAGCGTGAGATCGCAGTGGAAAGAGTCATTGGGTCATCAACCTGCTGAGTGAATCTCCAAGAAGCCCCACTGTTTTGGCGTGCGCGCAGAAATTGGGCCACAATCTTCTGAAACTTGTGAGTGTCGCATTGAGGGTGAACATCATGGCTCCCATTGCAACAGTGTGCGAAGAGCAGCAGACTGCATCGTCAGATGTGTCCTCAGCCGCTGTGCCAAATGGATTAGATGGTGAGTTGCATTGCACTCTCTAACACATCGCGTAGCATTGATGCTGGGCTGTGGAAAATCACAGCTTTCCACCCAGCGATCATCGCTGTGGCTAATCTGGAGCAAGTCACTTGCGTCCTTGGGCGGACGCAGTGAAAATTGGGAAATTACAGCGAACTCATTGCCGAGCATATTAGAGAGAGAGAGAGAGGGAAAAAATTGACACTATTTCAAAATAATCATTAACCCATTGGCGATCGATTTTGTGTCATGTTGAGAATTTCATCAACAGCTGATTATTTAGAACGAAACGACTTTTTTCCTCTCCACTCGTTTTGCCAATGGGAAAAACCAGTGCAGAACTAGTTCAGAGTGGGAAAAACTATCACAGATATTTGGTGACTCTTTTCATGCGTTTGTCACGTGGAAAATCGCAATGAATCCATACATAATTTGGATTATACATTGTATGAAGCGTAAATCTGATGGAAAATAACTACAACTGGAGCTTCTTTATCATGTCTCAAAATTACGCACTGACTTCTCTTGACTTTCCCAAACTACAACAATATCAAGATCAATATTGCAAAATCGTCGTTGTTCTTGTACTTGAAATGGGAGTCAATATTGTGGTTTATCTAGGGCTTTATACGACTCCTTATCAATGAATAATTTAGGTCAAGAGTGTGATATTTTACACATTTAATTCACAAAATATAATTTACCTTTCATTCAATGATGCCTGAAGCTTGTGATCAGCGCTGCCAAGCCAATTTCTGACGGGTCGGTTTTTTTTTTTAAGGAAATGAGGACGAGAGATTAAAAGCATAAAGCGCTTCAGGGCGGATCAGACCATAAATAAATCTCGGCTGGCAATCATGCTTGTACTTGACAATAAGATCCGCGTCTCGTTGAGGAACAACGCGCGCGTGGTTATCAGCTGGAGTCGCGCATCATATCACAAGAGTGATGTTGAGAGGCTCTCGAAAAAAAGAGTGCGTTTGCGGAAAAACTTCAGCCATATCTGGAGGGTGATATTTTTGGGCATTCGTGCAGAGAGAGGATGACAAGTTGATTAGGGTTATCAGAAGATGAATTGATTCGCTTGAATTTGAAGTGAATCATGTGGGATTTTCTAAGCAGCACAGCTGAGATGGGTTAAAAAGTAAAGCATGACAATTACATCATTGCGTGTGATAAAGATTTTGTATTTTTGGCACCTCTGGATGGATTGTTTGGGGCACTCTTTGAGCAATATAATGTCTTGTGTAAATTGCATCTGCATCAATCACCGATGGAACATCTCTAGAAAGTAGTTTTTCCTATCGGTCTTTCAACTTCCAATTAATCATGCAGTGACTTTTGTGTGAGTGTGTGGCGTTGGCAACCGAATGTCTATCATCGCTTATTGACTACAAGTGTGAACGCAATTTGTTACTCAATGGCAAAATGCGTGAGGGGATAATTGGCAGAGATGAGGAGGAGGAGGTTTGGTCACAACAAGGCACTTTGGGGGCTCACCAAGTGGGCTGTTGGGTGTTTGTGTGGCGTCGAGCAGCCTTGTTGTTTTGCCTCATTGGCGATCTAATCGTGTGACAAGGCACTAAATATTTCGAATGTCTGCTTCTTTCTTCTCTCTTTGGGGCCACAATCAAATTGAATCGATCGCCAATTGCTTGATTACACAGCGTTGACACTCATTGAGGACGTTGAGAGTCAGTTTTTTGGGACCATTCAACGATAACGCACGCATTATTTCTCCACAAGTGTGTAAAAAGTGCGGAAATTGGGTGGAAAAATCGTGTGGAATTGCGCTAAAAGAAAGACAAAGCAAATCATCCAGCCAAAGAGAGTCAAGAAGGTCGAAGAAAGTGAAGGAAAGTGCGTTGTGTCATGAGATTTTCACAATAGGAGGGACACTTTTGCTTCTTGTAAGTGTGAAGAGGTTTTAGAAATGGAGTGGAAAATTTGCTAATCACGTTAATTTTGTCTTAATTGACACGTGATTTGACGGAGATGTTTGTCATCATCTCGAATGTGTGGAATAATTTCCAATCACGCTTCAATATGCATTGCTCAATAATGTTATTTTCGATTAAGTCACTGTTTTCTGCAGAGGGTGGACTTTAATCATAAGTGATTTCTCAAGAAGATAACATGCAAGACACAATAATGATTAAAGCCAGAGACAGAGAGAGACTTGTTGTGGTGCCAGGAAGAGTTGTTGTTTTCTCTTTGAGCGCGAGAGAGAAATGCAAATTGTATTTGTTATGCATTTATAGTTGCTACAGTCGATGGCACAGGTCTGGAGACGATAAGAAATGAACGCAATGCTTAATGGGTTGTTTACATGTGACGCTTGATTGTGACTTTGTATGATTTAATAGGTAAAAAAAAAACACATTGTTGATGGTGAGAGAACTGGAAATCCCCTTTAAGCCGATGATGATCTTAAACTTCAGTTCGTCAGTGTTTCTTATGCCATTGATATTGCCCAAAGAGGCACACAATGTATTATTATTATAAGGCAAATAATGCTGCAAAGTGTTTAAACTTGAGGAACCGGAATTGATCGCACTTGTCCAAAGAGATTTATAAATATATCATTGAATGTGGGGAGGAAGAGAGAAAAAAAGAAGTTACTTCACAATATTGTCCATGAGAAACTGTGACGCCTTTGTTGATTGAAGGTCTCTGCGTGAGTTTTGCCAGGAGGAGAAGAGAGAAAGAGTGAAGTGAGATGAGAATTTCTTTGTGCAAGAGACACGAGAAGGTTTCTTACTCGACAAATTGCTTCCCAAGACATCAATCAGAATCGAATTAAGTGAGAGTTCTTGTCCGCAGGAAGTCGACTGTGCGGCAATTATCCTCAGTCTGGGACGCCGTTTAACTGATCATAATCTCTGTCAGGTGTGAAAAGCAAATAATTGGCACGTTGCAGTTGATAAGGCATTAATTTATGTCGCTCGTACGCGTGTGAGTTTGTGCTTATCAGTTGTTTGTGCAACAGTTGGCAACATTATTCCGCAAGTCAATCGAATGGTGGAACGGAGAGAGAGAGACAGGAAAATAAATTAATTCATAGGAATAATCATGACTTTGGGTGTGAGGAATAATAAAGCATGTCATAAAGCCACTCTCTTGATGGGTCACACGGAGGACAATTTCATTCGAGTGTCTGTTGTTCTCATCGCATTCTCATCAATGAACTTGAAGTGAAGAGAAAATGGGCGCGAATATTGCGGAAAAATAACAGAAAATGTGTTGTGAGATATGGAATAAGAAGATTTGAGGAGAAATTTAAATTGACCGTCTCCTTGTGTTTTCTCATTATCACACTCTTGAATATCAATTTTTGGTGTACTGAAACAAAGACATTTTGATTTTGGGTTTTTCCACCCAGGAATTGAAATTCGTGAAATTGTCTCTTCTTCAGCATCATTATGCCCTTATCAGGATGTTTCTTTGTGCGTTGTTTGTTGCCTCAAATAGAGCCTCATTTTGCTCGGTTCTTCTTTTTTTCGCTCTCTCACACACGAAAAATGGCTTTACAACATTTTTATCACATCGTGTGTTTATTTGCGGCTTTCCGTCTGGCATTTAGAGAGGCAACACACAGTTGGAGGCTCGAATTTGAGGTTGTCTGATGTCACAGATCACACCCATTGCTCAGATATTATTGTTGTGTCTCAATAAAAAAGAGTCAGACTCACACCACGTAACCAACGCTTAACGATTTGGAGCTGAAGATGTTGCAATTCCAGTGAAGATGAAGATGGGGAAAAAAAAAATTCGCGAACAAGCAAATATAATCTAAACGTCGTGTTTTGAACTCTCAAATTGAAAGAGAATAAAGGAAGGTCAATGAGGAGATTTAAAAATGAAGAGTAAAAAACAAATTCTCTAACAGACTCATTCATGCAAATCGCGAATTAATTATCAAGTCAGGCGATTCTAAAAATGTTCAGATGTATTTTTAATTTGAGCAAAGCGAAAGCTTACAATTGTGGGTGGTTTATATATTTTCGGTCATGCGGAATGCATTATGATACTTAACTTGAAATTATCAAGTGTTCTGTCGTCAGCTTCTTCCGTTTTCTGAGTTGTTTTCTTATCGAGTCAGTGTTTTTTTTATCAGCGGAGAGGGTTTCTATCAAATGCCACGCCCATTTAGATGCTCCGCCCACTCAGGTGTCTTGACTAATATGGTTTAAATATTTCATAACTGCATATTTAATTAGGTGTTTGAAACGTTTGAGTTCCCATAAGTTTAGCCAGGAATTTGCTTATCACACTTTACACTTGTCACTGTCGCCATAAACATTTGTGCTGATAAGAGACAAATATTTGCAGTTCTCACTACACATTTCTCTTGACGTGCAAGCTTGTGTGTGGTTTTTGCTTATTTTTATTTTTAGTACAATTTTTACGTGCGCTCTGCGAAGTAGTGTCGTTTTGTTGCTTCCCCAAGAAGTTGACTTTCACGCACTTTTTGCAGGCCTGAAGACAGGTGTGGTGAATGGTAATTTCGTGAGTGGTAAAATTGCATTTTTATCGAGCTCTGTGTGTGATTGAACAGTCAACCTCGGAATGGATTGTGAATCATTTCCTGTTCTCAGCGACTTGTTTCTTTCCTTTTTGAGAATAAATGCATGTTGACAAGGCAGTGCAGCAAAGTTGTGGAAACACGAGACCACGTGGCAACGGCATCACAGCTGATCGTGAGATGATCAAACTTATGATATCTCGCAGGCAATTGAGAGTAGTTTGGCTGATGTGAGAATGTGTGTGTTTTCTTGTGCCTGTTGGTAATTTGCCAAAGGTTCAAAGTTCTGCGCCCCAGAGAGCAACAATTGCAATTGCAATTGAATAATACATATATAGATTATTTGTGTGTTTTTAATTTAAATATAGATCTCTATATTCTCATTTTCTTTCGCCATCACTACAAATGTTTTACAATACAGATAATTTTTCTTTTTTTTTGAGATTAATCTTCTCACTTACAGCATTTTATTTTTCACTTGTCGTTTTAATAGATGTGTTTACGGAATTGAATTTTTGCTTTGAGTCCTCATTGTTCTTCTTTTTCTGATTTTATTCATTTGTGATTTATTAAATTAAATTCAAGGGTAACAATCGCATCACACCTTGTACTTGACACAGCTGGCACATGAAATGCTTAATAACTTACTCTACACTTTATGCATGTTTTCTTTTCTTCAAATTTCGCGCGTCTCACATTAATTTATAATTATACATATATATATATTATATTTAAAAAAAAAATTAAGGGAGATTGTGTTGATTTTATATAAGGAATTTGTATTAACTAGAGAAAGAGGCAAAAATATTTACTGAATTGATAAGAAGGGATTCATGTCGTCTTTGTCTTCTTGGGGGGGGGGATTTGTTGAGGTTGAAGGGCGTGGGTTGTCAGATTTGAGGGGCTGAGGGTTGGGCCTCTTGCTGGAATCATCCTCTAAAGTAGTTTAGCGGCGTGTAAGGTGTCCGTGAGTAGCGATCGGGTTGAACGTCAGCCCTCAGGATGACCACTCCTGATGGATTGACTTTGACTTTGATCTTTGTCTGCGGGCTGAGCACTCCGTAGTCAACCTCCTCGTACAAGTCCTGAAAAATTCACACAGATTTAGTCAAAAGCCCAAAGGTTTAACTTGTGATTCGCCTTGGGAAATACCTCGACTCTGTATCCAGACGGCGAGACCAGGCCCAATTCCCTGAGTGTGACGGCGACGTCCGAGGGTGTTCCGTCGGTTCTCCTGTTCACGAAGGCCACGGCGTAGGAGTAGTAAGTGTGATAGATGGGCGTGATGGGCCTGGACCAGATTTCGATGCCCTTGTGCTTGTAGATTCGGCGTCCCTGAATGCCGAGTGGGTCCTGATCTACGGCGATGATCTTCCTGTTCTGCAGGATGGCCTTGAACTCAGGTCGAATGGTTCTCAAGTCGACAGACATGAGGAGTGGGGCTGCCATGATGGCCCAGAGGGCAAATTGTGTCTTTGACTGTTCGTAGCTGAGGCCAAAGTTGCCAATTATCAGCATGTCGGGATCGTTCCAGTGGCCAGGACCCGCATTGGGCACAATAGCGTCCTGATTGTTGCCGTAGTAGTCGATGATGGTCTCCAGTGAGGCCCATGAGTCTTGGATATCGTCGTAGTTTCGCCACAGGTTGCAGTGCTCGATGATGGAGGAGAAGTTTGGCGCGATTCCGGCGTAAATCTGATACACTGGCCAACTGCAAGAGTACACCATGGCTCGGCCGGTGGCGTTCAAGTAGCGCCCAAACTCTGGGTAGCCGTGATCCATGTCGGTGGGCAGGGAGTAGCATCCGTCCAGCTTCACGTAGTCCACCTCCCAGTCGGCGAACTGCTGCGCATCCTGGCCGAGATAGCCCAGGATTCCTGGGTATCCGGCACAGGTGTAGTTGCCAAAGTCCTGATAAATGCCGAATTTAAGGCCTCTGGCGTGGATCTGCAAGACAGTGAGAAAGGGAGAATTAGACGTTTAGGGCGGGGCTAAGAAGTGGGCGTGGCTGCTTTAATCTTACATATTCCGATAAGGCTTTCATGCCCCGTGGGAAGCGTCTCCTGTCCGCCAGGAGTTCCCCATGGACGCCTCGTGACTTCTCCAGCCAGCAATCGTCCACGTTGATGTATTCGTAGCCAACTGAGGCGTAGCCTTCCGACACGACCAAGTCGGCCATTGTCCGGAATAAATTTTCACTGGAAAGAGAAATGCACATGATTGTTAATGAATTATGTAAGAAATCATCGGCTGCAATTAATCGCGCAGCCAATTTGGCCATTAATTGAAGGTTGAACGAATGATTAGCTGTTTACAATTGGGTACATGCGTGTCTTGGCAAAGTGGCTCTAAAGGAATTCTCTTTGTGTGAATATATTGCATGAGCGACAGACGATTTTTTCACCAGAAATGGTTTAGGAAGAGTGTTTTCAAATGACTTGTCGCGACTTTTGCCTATCAGTTAGGCGATATATGTTGGAAGTGTTGTTTTGAATGGCTGAAATGTCGTTGGAAAATCACTTGTTTACAGTCCCGACTGGCTCTTATCTCTTGACTACGGGCAAATGGGGAAGGCGAAGTGTGTGGTATTAATGGGAGAAATTCTGGCGCGCGATAACCTTTAGAGATCTCCCCCTTGAGCTGTACAATGGTTTTTTTCTCCTCGCTCAAATTGTGCTCAGTCCACGTGCTATTTCGCAAAGGCGCCAATTTGTGGGCCGCGAGAAGTTGGATCATTTGCAGCGTGCGATCGTGATTTCCGATGTGTTTCTTATTTGTGCCGCACAACACAACATTGATTGACTTGTTTCGTGCAATTTCAATTTTCAGCATTGTACTTCCCCGTCATTTTTCATCAGCAGGAGCGTCAGTCTTCTCCCGAAGGACACACGGCGGATCGAAGAGAACTCTATTGTCAGTCTCTTTGGCTCTTGTTTGACATGGTTTTAATGGCCCCATTAATGGGCGAGTTTGGGCAATTGACTGAACGCGAAAGACAGAAAAATGTAATTTGCTCGGTGTGGTTTTGACCCCTCCTTGTGAGACAACACACCGCCGCGGCCCGCTTCTTAGTGGCCGATGAAAGGGAAAAAAGACACAGTAAAGAGTGTATTGAATGGCGAGTAATTCTCATAGAGTTGCTAAAAGTGCTTGACACTGACACAATTAGACAGTCTGAATATAAATTAGTGGTTCAGATCGCAATGTTTTCTCTCTCTTTCTCTCACAGTTTCGCATGTGCAAGACACAATTTTTATTGTTTGCCATTTTGACCAGTCTTTGCTGATTTTTTTTCCTTTGGCAGCTGCGTATTTTTCTCAATTGTGTGAATGAATTTTCTGCAGGTTATATTCTCAACATCATCACAAAGAATTCTTACGCAAGCTTCTGAAATAACACATTAAATTTCTTTTCATACCAGCTGGACTATTTTGCATTGTTGTGCCTCAGGAATAATCATACAATATATATATATGATATGGAAATCATTGAGGAAAATTGTGTGTGTTTCTGTGTGTGTTTGTGATTTATGAGAAAAGGGAGTTTTGTTCTCACGGAATTAGAGACTCAATTTTGCGAGGCTGGATTTTTTTTTGTTGTCCTGAAATTCTCATGACAAAGCTACGAAAAAAAATGTGTCAAGCGGAGTTACAACATTCCCCACTCTCCCCTACAATCGTAGATCTCTTCCTTATTGAGCATTCTCAGCGCTGTGATGTTCAATCATTCAACTTTATTGGTTTTATATTGAGTCTCGTCGCTTCGACAAAATGCCAAATGATTTTTCACTAAATTATTCCAATCGCACAAAATGCTTTGAGACATTTTAACTTCATGTCTTTGCCTGGCGTTGCCTCATCACTGCCACGAGCATCACGTAAAGGAACAGCAAGACGAAAAAAAAAGAATCGTCTCTAGACGAGGATCTCCTGCTATCGTTTTCGCATTTATTGGCAATAAATTGTCCCAAGGTATTTAGAATAAAAAAGCAATTCTGAATTCCGTCTTGGAGATCAACATTCTTCAGATTATGCGATGCGGGCGGATTTTTGGGTTGATCTTCAAAAGTAGGTTATTTGCTGACCGATCGGAATTCGCGTGCAAATCACTACCGATGATGATAGGCACTTCATCTTGGCTTTTTTCTCCTTCAAAATGTTAAGGTCGCATTGTTCGCTACACTTTGATCTGTCTTTCTTTCTCTCTGGTATTGCTCAATATTTTGAGATGCGGATAAAAATTCAATTTGAGAAATTTATTAACCTTGATTAAATTTTGTGTTCAAACATGCACGAATAAAGTGCTCTCTGTTGTTGACTCTCTTTGTCATGAATGCGAATATATGTGCGTCTTAAAAAGGAAAAGTGATGTCAATTCTTGAAAAAAATTTCACTTTCCTCGGTGTATTGTGGACTTTGTGGTCGAAAATAAGGGGATATTTGTATCTTATTTCCGCTAAAATCATATCCGGGATGAACCACTCCCACACGAGAAGAAGTGATTCAAAAGTGTGTTATTTGAGTTTGAGATTAGACTTGATAGTGTCCCATTATTCTTGTCTGGCATGAGTCGATATTTTGCCTCTCTTTGACATGGTCTAGTAATTGCAATTTGACTGTATAATAACCGAAAAATTTTAATTAACCTTCCTCTCCATATCCAGTGCAAATTTCACGGGTACTTTGGTGCCCATCATTGAGGCAAAGAGAGAGAAGAGACTTCTTCACGAATTCACTACACTTTCCTGGCACGCAGAGAAATTATATTCATGAACAGTCCAAACAATGCATCGTGGCTTAGAAGAGAAGAGAGCCTTCTGGGCGAGAAAAAAGTCGACTTTCCACTTAAAGTTATTTAAATTTGATGAGAAAATATTCAACTTCAGGTTTAATTGAAATTACACACACACAATATATTTATGCTCTTGCCTGATAAATGCTCTCATTTGTTGACGAATGATAATGATAAAAAAAAAGAGTTTCCATTCATCAGCCAGAGAATTGAGCAAATGCAGGAAATGTTTTGATTACAATAAACTTGCCAATAAGACATGAAGTAAAAAATTGTATTTCGATTGTGATTGTTCGCGGAGGAGAATCACAATCGATGGACGTCGTGTTGTGGTGCTTCTTTATTTATGTAACATTTTGAATAATTGAATACTAAATTGCATCACAATATATTGGATGCCGCATGATTTTTAGAGTCCAATTTATACTGTGTTATATGGCAAGACACAATATTTCATCTTGTGTCCATTGTGTGGCCCGAAGAAGATCAACAACTGGGCGGATTTGGTGAAAAGATACATTGCAATTTCGTCAAAATTGCCGCTGTTGTGGGAGGTGGAGAAGAAATGACCGGCGCTCGTTTGACTACTTTTGCAGACATTTTGTGGCATTTTGTGGTTTGGGGAATTTGGGTGAAATTACCTTATGCAGTTGTCGGGATCTCCTTCGCAATCTGTATTGCATCGAAATCGCTCCCAAGACAGCCATCCCATTGGTGGTGTTCGTGCCAATCCATTTTCGAGTGAATTAACTTGTGCTATTGCTAGAAAGATCACAATGCTGAACCATAAGGAAGTCTCCATGGCGGTGTGTGTCTGCAAAGAAACGTGTGTAAGAGAGAAGGAAACTTTTAGGAATCTCATACTGATGAAAAATCATAGATTAATGTCATGCCGCTTTCACACTCAGGCAATCGTGAGGATTCAGAGAGTTACCGCATTTTGATCGTCAGGTCGATTTCTAGGGGGGATTTATACTAGATTACTTCGTTTGCCGTCATGAAATCTCCCATTAATTGCTTCTCATTTTGGATATTTAGTGATAAAATGTGTAGTTTGCTGATCCGAAACTATCTTTAGGGGTCTCTGAAGGCCTCTTGACAGACCCTCTTGATGAGCACAAATTTGATTGACGTTCCTGCTCTTCATCAGCATCAATTGTAGTTGGGAAGCTGCGTGGCTATTTTCCCAGGAAGATCTTCACAAGACACACAGTCAATGGGCGAGAGTGTGATTATGTGAAGAATCAAAGAGTGTATATTGAGAAATTCTTCACAGTGCTTCTGAATGACTGTAATGCTTGTCATAACGATAATTGATAGTGTGGCTGAATATGATTGAAATACATTTTTACACATTTCTCCATTTAAAATCCATGTCTTGCACGGTTAGCAATATTGTGCACTTTCACTCGTAATACCGAAAAGTGTATCTCAACATTTTTGCCTCACTGTGAATGCAGGAAAATTGCTGCATAGTTGGTGGAAAAACATGCACAAGAGAGGCATGAAAAATTGAGAGATACACAAAGTGTTCAAAATGTCCACAATGCAAGCAAAATGCTCGCGCGAACTCTTTCTTCCCCAATTGTGAACACAGCGAAATATTTTCCTAATTGCACTCAGCGCGCGCGCACACACGTTAGGGGAATGCGGTAAAGGCAAGAAAGTGCATCATTGACCATTGAGTAATTTCTAAATTGATAAATCAGTTAATTCCCTGCCTCGTCGCGCGCATATATGTATGCAAAGTCGATGGCGAGGGAATTATGTAAAAAAAAAACAGGCACATCATCGCGATTATTAAAGTAATTTCCTCCTCTTGAGGTTGGCGCAAAAAAAAAAAGAGGAGAAGAAGAAGTAATACACACAAAGAGTGGAAAAAAAATCATAACAGAGGAAAAGTGAGAGACTCATCAGTTTGTGTGAATGATATAATTATGGAAATTTGGCAATTTTACATTAGTTTTCGCTGCGTCTTTTACACCACCCAAAACATACGCCTTTAGCGTCTCTTTGCCTTTCTCATTATTGCATTTTCAACAGCATTAACAGTTAACATTCGCCATGGCATAACACAATGGCATCTGCCAAGAGGCGCACAGATTGAGATCAAACACTATGAGATAATCTGGCGAAGAAGAGCGCGCGAGGTAAGAAAAACTTCCATCCCAAATGTCTCACAGTGATCTTCACTTTAACGGTTAAGTGGCACTTTTTCCGCATGATGAATTTACTGGGTGTTGTCAATCACCCAAGGCGCGCGAGAGATGATATTGAAAACTGAGCTGAGGAATGCACAGCATTCTCTCTCTCTTTTTATGTAAATTGGTGAGTGAGAAGAAGGCATAGATATTTGATGGCGAAGATCGTGATCAAGTGGGTGTCTTCATATTATTCATTTTGCTACACAGTCCAGGAAAATATATGGACACATCATTAAGATAGAACGTGTTATGGTAATGTATGGGTGAGAACCTAACCACGTCTTGACCAACTTTTATTGACAGTTGTCCTTAAGAGATTCTCTCATTCACTTTAACCTACAGCATTTTCCTATATGACAAATGGATGAAGTGCGAGAAATCTTCTTATATTGCTCAATCTTTTCGCCTTCTTCAGCACTAAATGTATACATTTATTTAAACATCACATCTTAATTGCAGGCAATCTGAGAGATTATTGCAAAATCAGGGACACTCGCGGTGATATTGATCAAAAAATATTTTATGTTTAAGGCTCCAGAGAAGCCTGAAGGAAAGCGGATGCAAAAAGAGGGTGAAGCAAGACTACAATTAAGAGAGCTTTGATATCTCCTAATTCAGATCAGCACAGAAGTGATCATCCATATATCCTAAAAGGCCACTTGTTGAACTTCTTTTGCGCGTTTTTGTCCAATTTTTCAACTCACTCTGCTAAAGGTCAGTTGAAAATGATTTTGAAAATCAAAAATTCTTAGGCGCAACTCTTGACATAAACACTCAAGTTTAAGTAGCTGTTTGTTTTTGATTAATTTGCGATTGTTGCCTTCTATTTTTATATAATTCAATTTTCTGCAAACTCAAAACACGCACGAGTGGAAAATTAATTTTTATTCACCTCGTTCCGTGTAATTCACATGACGATTAAATATTTGCTGAAGAATTTTTTTGGTGGGAATTATGAAAGAAGAAATATAGAAAAATTTCGCTACAATTTGATCAAGCGCGCACGAGTGACTTGAACTGGTGGTGACCTAAAATGTTTTGTGTGATGTATGAATATGTAAAATAATAATCATATTTTTTTATGGGTGTTATAAAAGGCGCCAATTTGTATGGCAACTCCCTCGTGTTTTGGTGTTTAAAAAAAAAGCCAGTGCGAATATAAATTTCCTGAGACTTCATCAGATACTAAAATATACATTAGAAGAAGCATATATTTCTTTCAATGCTTCCCACAAAAGGTGAGAGAAGACCTTATGTTTATTGTGATTAATTGAAAATACAAGTAACTATTGAGAGAGAGAGACTCTTTTTCCAACCTGTATAAGGACATTCCCATCCAATTTATATCCATTTTAATTACAAAACACTTTGCCACGATCGACAGCAAAATTGTTTATTGCCGACGCCTCTCGCGCAGATTTGTAGCAATTTATCCGCAATTGAAAAGAGCGCTTTTTGCAATGGCGAAAAAAAATCATCTGTCTTGCCAGATACAAATCACACATCACGATATCGAGAGGAGGCCAAGATGAAGGAGGGAATGGCGGGATAAAAATGCTCGTGTGAACACACTCCCACGAATTGACATTGGCAAGTGGATCAAGCAGTTAAAAATTGATTATTACACCGATGTGAAGCCAAAACATGAGGTGTGCGATTAATCACAATCAAAGTCAGGGGAGAATAGGTGACGCTATTTGCTCATTGAATTCTTCTTGTGCCAAAGCACAGCGCGTCTCATGTTTCCCATTGAAAAAGACTGGGTAACACAACAAAATCAGCAAGTAAACATTAGAGACGAGACTTCGCATGAATTGCATAAGTTTTGCGCTATTTTCGCACGACCTTATGCAATTTTGAGAGAGACCCAGTAGCAGCAAAAGCACACAAAAGTCTTTCAATTTTGCTGGTATTAATTGTCTTCTTGAGAGATTTAAGATCAAAAATGCACCTTGTATTTAATGTTTCGTCGGCGCGCAAGGAGTGCAAAAGAAAGAAAGAAAGAAAAAATGTACTAAAAATGCCAGAAGCAATTTAACATGCAAAGAGATGTTTTAATCTTCTCAGTTTCACTGATCAATTAATCACAGCGGAATCATCGCACAAAAAAATGTTCTGCAATACATCACAGACATACACAGAGTGTGGCATTGCAAATGCAACAATCTGTGAGGTAAATGAATTTAATCTCATCTGTGTGATCATTTTCTCATAATTGCACACAATTTTGCTTCTGACTGTGTCAGTGGAACCTTCTCTCAATTGTAAATTTCCTTCATTTAAATCGGATAAATTGATGCCACCATGTGAGGAATACACGGACGAATGATAGAATCAAAATTGCTGTGCGCGCAATTCTTTATATTTGATGCTGAACATCATGAAATTACGCTTTGCCTTCTCTATTTTCACTTGTTCAACTGCCGCGCACACAGAAGAAATTGAATCCAATTAAGTATATATTTGCGGAAAATCGTGATAATGAAGATTTACAAGGTACAACTTGTGTGCATTATTGCAAATGAAATACGTAGAATCCGGAGAATAGATAAAAACAGACTGAGAAATGCAAGGAAGAGTAGGAAATGTTGAGATTTGGAGGCAATATTGAGGATTAATGTACAAATGCAGTACATAATAAATCCTCAGCTTAGAGCGATTACAGACTTGCTGATGATCCCTCGATATATCGAAGGTTCAGCCGATTTTTTGGGGGTTATCGACGGCAGCGCGCTCGTGCGAAAATACGCCAAAACATTGCGCGACTCAAGAAAGGCGCAAAATGGCGGATCTTTTGTGAATGATTTCCTGGATTATTAAAATCATTAAATTCTTCTGCGAATCATCAATTTTAACGTAAAATTTCACGCTTTTGACGTACTCAAATCGACTGTTGAACACACCAAGCACAGTGTCGCTAGTGTCGACAAAGAAGAATAACTCCTGAGTGTATTTAGCGCCAGTTCAGCCACGAATTGTTGCTAATCCATATTTTGAGTGTGTAAAGGTGCAGATCAACCACGACTTATCGCTGATCTGAGGATTGATCCGAGTTTCCGTCAATTTGAGGATAAGCGGTTAGTCTGTAATCGCTCTTAAGCTCTCTCTCTTCGTGTCTAGTGTTTGTCTCTGAATGTGCCTTATGACATGCCTCTTGGATCAATTGTTATTTCGGTTGGGGAACTTTAATTGGACCTTCTTGTCCGACAATCATGTGCAATACAACGGCTGGACAGAGTATCACTTCGCAGATGGTTGAATGGTGATTCGGCTATTTTTTCTGCTGCTTGTGGTTGTACACATTTTGATGTTCTCAGGCCGGGGCAGACAGATAAAACAGGCCATCATCATTGGCCCCGCGCGCAATTCCCCTGACTTTTGTCTCTCCGCGACTCAGCTGATATTTCGCAAGAGTTCGTGAGTATTTTGTATCTCTTCTTGTGTGTACAACATAGGAATTCAAATGGGGGGAATTTTGCAAAATCCATCACAGAGACTGATTCTTTTTTCCCAATGGAAAAACCACACGTACAGAGCGTCTCATAAGTGCTGACATCGGAGTTTGAAATTAGTCAGGGAGAGTGAGGAGGCAAAAAGTCACAAACCCACT